TTGCCTCCAGTGGAACGGCCCCTCTTCCAGCTTACCTGCACCCGAGGAGATCCTCCATAAGTGCTGACGAGGCTGAAAACTACGCAAAGCAGCTTAAAGGCAGCAGACCCATCACCGTTTATGGGCATAGTGAGACCACATCCGCAGGCCTTATGTCCGCCACAGCCAAGACATTTGCCCCCTGCACTTTCCAGGTCTATATCCCGGGCTACCATGTCCTGACTACTACACCGACAGTTGGCCTGCCCTGCACTGAACAAGAAGCCTTCCGTCACATACAGACCTCATTGGAGGGGAGACTGCCACCCTTCTTTGATCTCCTCGTTCCGTTGCAACCCCAGATTGGGCGCGACTACGGGTCCTTGGTTTTAGTCCCAACTTGGCATGCCCCTAGTGGTAGGCACACCGTTGTCTTTGACATGAGTGGGATCGAAGGTCCCGTATATGCCAAGGTTGTTGCCAGCCCGGTGACCTTCTGGGAGTGCCAGCCTGAAGCAGCTCGACACTCCGCCATGACATGGAGCCTCTTTGTGGCTGGGTCGCTGGCCCCCCAAACACCAGGTGAAAGCTTTCATGTGGGGACAGGGTACGTTCTTCAATTCCGGCCGCCTCAGAGTCCACCTGAATGGTTTGGGCATCTCGCAGAACGCCTCGGTCACCATGTGCCATGGCTTCCGGATCCGGTGCTCCCTGAATTCCCACCAGGCAACAGGCTCTTGGTTCTGAGATCTGATCAACATAGGGTCTTTGATCTAGATCAGGTTGATGCCACTCCCTTGACTAGCCGACTCGCTGACCTTGTCGAGCGGACCACGACTGATGTTCTCTTCATTCGGCCCCTCGGCCAGTGTCATCTCAGGGATTATTGCCACGAAGGACTCCCATGCCAGGGGGCGCTTGCTGTCTTTCCGCTCCGGGATCTTCCGGGCCGTCAAGGGCGCCTACTCTTCCTTGATGGAAGACCGGCCAACGTTGGGGTGATCACTATCTACACTGAAGGCGTAGACGATCTTGTAGGTTTTGCAGACTGGTTGGGTCTGCGCCCACCTACACTGCATCATGTAGTCTGTGCGAGAACTGCTGCGGTAGAGAGGGACATGTCGCCCGAGGGATCCGTCCTGATATTTGGCTACCGCCTCAATTCTGAACTCATTTTAGACGCTCCCCCACCGTCCTCCCTCGCCTCTGACGATTCCCAGGGGGAGGCTGACAGCGACGAGGAGGATGCCTCAGATGGCCAGACTGGACCGGACAGGACGACTGCAGTGCCTGTCATTGTCTCTCCGGCTGGGCGTAATTCCACTAATACTGGCTGTTCTGGCCAAGAATCGAACACCGACGGGCAGACAAGAACCGACTACCGTTCGGAATGTGTTGCAGTTGCCTTTTCAAATGCTCGCCTTCCCACCGATGATGCCATTTCGGGTTCCCCTGTTATTGCCAAGGCACTTGAGCACAGTTGCACAGGATATGAGTCTATCTCGCATGCCCTGCTCGACCTCACAAGTTGTGTCACTGGCAAATTCCTTTCTGTGCCCGACTGGTTGTCCCTGCGTGGATGCCTGCATGCTGTCCGGTCTTTGGGGAGCCGGGGCAAAGTAGACCTGGTTACAAAGATCTGCCGGAGTCTAGAGGACATCGGCAACACAGCCCTTTTCGCGCCGGCGTGGACTTTGTTCTGTGCCTCTAAGTGCTGCTGCTTCGGTTGGCCTTGCCTTCCTTGGAGCTTGGACTTCTCCGCGCCTGGGCTCTTCGGTGTCACTGCTGTTAGTGCCTTGAGCGCCTACACGGGGCATCCCCGGCTCCATTGCAAAAAGCCTACGGTTGGTCATGCCTTGACTGGCCGTGAGTGCAAATACCTCCAGGAGCCACAGGGCCGAAACCAAGCCGAGGACAGACACCTCAGTGACCTACGTTCTACCACGCTTGCCCTTGGAGGACAATGGATGCCAAGCCTCCCTCCCTTCCTAGATCTAGGGGGCATCGTTGACTCTGATGCATCTGGCTCTGACAGTGATCACAGTGACTATACACAGTGGGTTCACTGCGCGGCGCTCAAAGAGGGTTTCCGCACGGAAAACGCCACTGTTGCCATTCAAGTTCCGTGCACAGAGGAGGAGCTCGTTGTAGCCTTGCACTCTGCGCGCTGCCCCACCATACGCAATGTCTTCCCCTCCTTGCTCTCCATCCTGCCACAGCCCCGCCCGGGTACTGCCGTCTTCCTTGCGGCGCCGAATTGGAATCGCACGTCCCACGGGGTCTGCATTGACACATCTTTGCTGGATCGGCGCCTGTTCACCACGTCTATTCCAGACTATGTCTGCAGACATGAGCTCGTTCAAATTGCGGGGCTCCCACACTCACTCGATGTGGATATCTGGCTTGTGCATGATGAGCTGCTACTGACAACGGAGGAGCCGGCTCATGTGTTTCCAGGTGCGCTTATCTGCTTTCTCCCAGTTGCGTATCCTCTTCCTTCCTTGCCTGTCCTAGGACAGATGCTCCTTCGGCGAGTGGTTGTGACACCTGACGCCGAGGTCCCTGCACCGTCAATCGACAGCGCCTACTGCCTGGTGACCCACGACCAATGCGGCCTACACCTAATCGATCCTGAGGAACACATCAGGTATAGGAGTAGCATTGCAGCTGCACTTCAGGTCCACATACACAGGCTTCGACTTTTCGCGGCTTGCCCCAGACAGACTGATGTTGCTATTGGGGGCACACCTTGCCGGAACG